ATTCCGAGGGGGGGGGGAGGGAGGGAGACGAGAGGGAGCGAGGAGGAAGGAGGAAGGAGGAATAGGAGGAAGGAGGAAGGAGGAAGGAGGAAGGAGGAAGGAGGATGGAGGAAGGGGGAAGAAGGAAGGGGGAATAGGAGGAAGGGGGATTAGGAGGATGGAGTGAGGAGGAAGGAGGAAGGAGGAATAGGAGGAAGGAGGAAGAAGGAAGGGGGATTAGGAGGATTAAGAGGAAAGAGCGAGGAGGGAGGGAGACGAGAGGGAGCGAGGAGGAAGGAGGAAGGAGGAAGGAGGAATAGGAAGAATAGGAGGAAGGAGGAAGGAGGAATAGGAGGAAGGAGGAATAGGAGGAATAGGAAGAATAGGAGGAAGGAGGAATAGGAGGAATAGGAAGAATAGGAGGAATAGGAGGAATAGGAAGAATAGGAGGAATAGGAGGAATAGGAGGAAGGAGGATGGAGGGAGGGAGAGGAGAGGGAGCGAGGAGGAAGGAGGAAGGAGGAAGGAGGAATAGGAGGAAGGAGGATGGAGTGAGGAGGAAGGAGGAAGGAGGAATAGGAGGAAGGAGGATGGAGTGAGGAGGAAGGAGGAAGGAGGAATAGGAGGAAGAAGGAAGGGGGATTAGGAGGATGGAGTGAGGAGGAAGGAGGAAGGAGGAAGGAGGAATAGGAGGAAGGAGGAAGGAGGAAGGGGGAAGGAGGAAGGAGGAATAGGAGGATTAGGAGGAATAGGAGGAAGGAGGATGGAGTGAGGAGGAAGGAGGAAGGAGGAATAGGAGGAAGAAGGAAGGGGGATTAGGAGGATGGAGTGAGGAGGAAGGAGGAAGGAGGAAGGAGGAATAGGAGGAAGGAGGAAGGAGGAAGGGGGAAGGAGGAAGGAGGAATAGGAGGATTAGGAGGAATAGGAGGAAGGAGGATGGAGTGAGGAAGAAGGAGGAAGGAGGAATAGGAGGAAGGAGGAAGGGGGATTAGGAGGAATAGGAGGTAGGAGAAATAGGAGTAAGTAGGAGTAAGAGGAAGGAGGAATAGGAGGAATTGGGAGAAGGTGAGGAGGAGGGATAGGAGGAAGAATAGAAG